GCACCTCCTATCGCGCCACTCGACGCCCCGCGGCCGCCTCTCGCCTACCGCGCTGCCCTCGCCGGCCGCCGCACCGCCCGCGCTCCAGCCTAACCAGCTTTCTGCTCCAGCCTAACCAGCTCTGTGCTCCACTGCTCCAGCCCAACCAGCCCTGTGCCCCAGCCTAACCAGCAGCCTAACCAGCTCTGTGCTCCAGCCCAACCAGCTCTGTGCCCCAGCCTAACAAGCTCTCCAGCCTAACCAGACAGTGCTCCACCAGCTCTGTGCTACAGCTAACGAGCTCTGCATCTCGCAACACACTCATGACAGGGACAGACCAGGCGCAGGAAAAGGGAGCGGGGCCCGAATCCAAGGGACCACCCCGTCGGGCGGAAGAGCTGAGAACTCAGGTCCAGTAGGAAGGCTGCTGGCTCCTGACTCATCCCCCAAATCCCCCACCCCTCTGGCCTGAAACCTTACCATTCCACCACCTCACACACACCCCTCTCCTAGGGCTAAGCAGTGCGCGAGCTCACCCGACTTCAGGCGAGACGTCGACCATTCCACGGGAATAGTTCTTTCAGTGGCTGCACTAGACGCCCTTAGAGGCGCGCGGCGCGGGCGGATGACTAGGGGAGAAAAAGCGGAGATCCTAGCTCGCTGGGAGACGTGCGCAACCTAAAGTTGGGAATAGGGGAGAAGTGTCAGTGTGAGGGGAGGGCGTACGCCGGCGTTTTTGCCTTTGAAAACTGAACAGTTTTTTTTCAGATGGTGTCGAGGGGTGTCGAGGGGTGTCATCGAGGGTGTCGAGTTGGCATGGGCCATGGGGTGTCGAGAGGTGTCGAGTTCGGAGTTGGTGTGAGTCGAGGTCTGGTGTCGAGGTGCGTCGAGGCCAGGGGCGCAGGGCTCAGAGACTGAGACGACGTGCCGAGGCGCGTCGGACGCGGAATCTTTGCCATCTCCTTTTTACAATCGCATAACAAAACACCGCGGCGGATCACGCGCGCCGCTGTTGCTCTCGAGACCGCTACCCTGCTCGATGGCGCGTGAGGAGGTACGCCGCCTCCTCGAAGCGTGTGCACCCTCGCTCCCTCCAGTGCGGCTCCGCGCCCATCCGGTCCTCGCGCTGCAGCGGCCGCACCGCAAAGGCGGGCGAGAAGAGCTCGCGCACGTCCGCCTCTCGCACTTCGTACGGAGGGCCGGCGAAGCCGTCGTGCTCCACCTACAGAGGCGGCGAGAGGCGGGGTGCATTGCCGCGACAGTGCCATCCATCCCCTCCCGCGCCGGCCGCGCCGTCACCAGCAGCACCCGCCCCTCTGGCGCCATGAGGCCGGCGAGGGTCGCCACGTAC